TTGCACCCATTTTTTTGCAAACAGCGTAAGTTTCTTCTTTATTTCTTCTTTATGGCTGAAAAATTACCCGCGCGTGCGCGCGCGCGCGCGCGCGCGCACACACACACACACACACACACACACACACACACACACACACACCTGTCATCTGTCCGTCTTTATCACATTTTCTTCATCTATTCCTCTGTTGTTGGATACCTATATTGGTTTCATAATTTAGCCTTTGTAACTAGAGATTCGGTAGTCATTGGTGCAGTACTATGTTTTTGATATGTTCCCATGTGATGTAACCCTCAAAGCCAGATCCATACTGGATCGTTTTATAGAGAGACTGAGTGAGGTTCAGAATGTGAAGGGATCTGGGGCAAGATCCATGAATGGCTGTGCCGGACATGGAATTCAAACCTACATGTGCAAAGTTTAATTGTCTTCATGGTGTGGTAGGTGACATCTGGGAGTTACATTTAAATGTGTGATCTCTAGGGTCCGGATATACAAGATGTGGTCCCTGGCCCCGCTGCAGCATCTGAAACAACCTCAGCATCAGTGGGAGAGTTGCTGGAGTGTAGCTTGTTGGGCCCGGGGCCATCACACCTCCTAAATCAGAACCAGTGTTCTAGCAGAGATCGTCAATGACAATAGTTTAAGAAGTTTTAGAAGGCTTGATCTAGGGAATGGTGTCTCCTCCCCTACAGATGGAATTGTGTATTAACATCACCTAGCAGATGTTAAGAAAGAACAATTTATCACCTAAGTTAGAGAAAGAGGTGGCTTTTTGCGTCAGTAGGCCACTCCAAGGAGTTTCTCCAGGATGTGCTCTGGCCGGTGTGAAATGGCATGCGCACACAGCTACCTGCTGCAGCACATCGTCACTAGAGAAAGCCTGAAATCAACCAGGATGACCACCGGTCGAAGGCAGGATGTAAAGCTGAGCTTCATCTATTCAGTGGAATATTATGCAGTGCTAAAAAGTGTAGTGTGTTATTTTCATTAATTTAAATTTTTTTTTTCATGCATAAGTAAAAAAAGCCCCCATCCACACTGATTGCTTGTGGGGGATGAGGAAGAACGAACAGGGCAAATGGAGACTTTTTTTTTTAATTGAAAATAGATCTTTTTAAAATGCACTATATATTCCCTCCCTCAGTTCCTCCCAGATCCTCTCCACTTTCCCACCCACCCCCAAACCACACCCTTTCTTCCTCTTTCTCATTAGAAAATAAGCAGGCATCTAAAAATGATAAAATAAAATGAGATTTAAAAAAAGCAAACAAAACAAGTAAGCAAATGGGAAAAAATGTCAAAGAAAAAGCACAAGAAACACATGCAGATGCTGAGACATATAATTTGTATACACAGAAAACCCATAAAGACAAATTTGGAAACCATAATATGTAAGCAAAAGATGTAAAGTTAAAAAAAAAACCCAGACAAAGCATTATGAGTTTAAAAACCTCCAAAAACAAAACAAAACAAACAAAAAACCCCATTGAGTTGGTTTTGTGTTGGCCATTTTTCCCTTAAGTGTGGTTTGTATATACCCAGTGAGACTCTGATGGAGGAAACTGATTTCCAGGAGGGAGACTTCTATTGAAATAACTTTAAAACATTTAAAATTTTAAGTTTGTGAGAAATTTATCCATTGGAAAATTATATGAATTTCTGGGCATCATGGCTCACATCTATAGTCCCAGCACTTGGGAAGCTGAGGCAGGAGGGTTGCCTTTAGTTTAAGGCCAGCTTGGGTTTGACTAGTTTGGTTTACAGAGTAAGACCTGTTTTTTAATCAAATTTTTAGAAGATTATTATTTATTTACTATGTATATGGTGTTCTGCCTGCATGTATGCCTGCATGCCAGAAGAAGGCACCTGATCTCATTATAGATGATTGTGAGCCACCATGTGGTTGCTGGGAATTGAACTCAGGACCTCTGGAAGAGCAACCAGTGCTCTTAACTTCTGAGCCATCTCTCCAGCCCCAAAACCTGGTTTTTTTTTTAACCTGAAAAATAAATAACAACATTTATATAAATCAGCTTAAAATGCATATACCCAGGCTCTATTCAGAGAGGCCAACAATTTTCTTTTTTGAGTCAGGGTCTCACTATATAGCTCTGGCTGGCCTGGAGCTCCATGTAAAGTAAACTGGCCTTGAACTCACAGAGCTCTTCCTGCCTCTGCCTCCCGAGTTCTGGAATTACAAGTGTTTACCCTGACACTCAGCAAGAACTTTCATTTTTTCATGGGCTCCACTGGTCACTCTAGCAACAGCTGGGTTCTGGAGTCTTTGCTGTGGGGTAGCAGAAGGTTTTCCTCTAACATGTTCTTTGAATTCTTTTGTAACCTGCATTTGAGCATGTCTATCAAAGCATAGCCATTGGTTCATTTCCCATCAACCTTTCTGGTTTCAAGTTGTATAGCCAGCATGGAGCAGTTAGTCCATGGAGCAGTTCCGCACACACTGAGGTTGATTTAAATGTCTCATTGACTTAATCACTACCATTGCCCAGAAGTTTTAATCTTTTGCCTTAGATAGTGGGATTTGAAAGTTATTATAACACACACACACACACACACACACACACACACACACACACACACACACACACACACACTTCCACCCCATATAATGCTTTTGCATTCTCAAGGTGGACTGGCGAGTAGCCAAAGCCAGGTGAGAGCATGCAGGAAGTGGAAAGCAGGAGCCTCAAGGTCCACAACATGTTAGACACGACACACTCTACACCTGAGACATGGATATTTTCACAGTCGAATTTTCAGTGCACCCAAGACTACATAAAACAGCAAACAACAAGAATCATAAAAACAAGGAAAATACCAGAATACAATAATAAATACAGTCAATTATCCAAATTGCTGGAAACAAAACAATATTACATAAACAACTATATAATGAAAAACAAAGTATGTTTTTACTTTTTGAACTCACTGATATGAATACGGGAATTCTTATCCCATTAATTTTGTATAATGAAATCACTTATCTTTAATATATCTAGACAGATCTTTATAGCATGAAAATTACCCATGAGACTGTGTTGCTGTGCTTATTATCAAACATGTTGTTAAGCTGCAGAGCCTCTTAGATGTTTTTAGCAGGAAAAGGGCCATGAGAAAATTAGATTTTTGTTAACAATGTTATTCTCAAAGACAATAACCCATTTAAAAAACAAGTTCTGACCCCATTAGAGCCACACAAAGAGAAATGACTGCCTGTGACCTCTTGGTGTGAAATGTAGAACTAGTTCAGAGATGCTTAACCCGTTTGGAACTGGAATGCAATTTTGATTGGGTCTGGTTGTCCTAGCCTTTTTAATTCTGAGAACACAGAGGTTGCACATAGCACCTTCCATGGCTGTTAATACTTGACTTTGACTCACAGGCCAAGATGTCCAGGCCATGGAAAGCTGTGCTTTCCGGGTTGGGCTCAGTGTTAACTAGAATTAGTTTCATGCATCCACTAGCCTGGAATAGGATTTGCTAGGCAGGGGTGATGCTGCAAGGGTAGGGGCATGGTGCTGGCAGCTTCTGGTGAAGACAGGGCAAACTATTTCTTCTTCTTCCTCCTTCTCTTCTCCCTCTTCCTTCTCCTTTTCCTCCTTCTCATCCTCTTCTATTCCTTTTCTAGCTCATGTATGTGCGGGCTGGTGGGTGGCTTATGTGTAAGCATGTGTTTGTGTGACGGTGTGTCCCTGTGCATGGACTAGAATGCCAGAGGATGGTAGCAAGTGTCCTTCTTTATTACTCCCCCCCCCCACACACACTTATTCTTTTGAGGCGGGATCTCTTCCTGAACCTGGAATTTGAATTACTTTCACCTAGGCTGACAGCATTGACAATTCCCCTGTCTCTGCCTCCTACAATGCTGGTTTTTCAGGCATGCACAAGACTGTGACTGGTGTTCTGTTGGTCCTGGGATCTGAACTTGGGTCCTCATGGTTGTGCAGTAACTACTTTACCACTGAACCAAATCCCTAGCCTGGGGCAAGGTTCTCAACCATGTTCTTCATCTTTCCCTCAAAGGTAACAGCAGTCACTTTCTTTGGTTGTGAGGATAAATGACATAACAGAGAAACATTGACGTGTTGCACGTGTAAATGAGTACATCAGTGTAGGAGGTCTGTCGTTTGTTTTATGAATGGGGCAGCCTTCCTGTCTCTATTCAGAGGCTGTGCTTGGGTTACAGCTATGCGAAGATGTAATTCCCCCATCCTCAGGTGCTGGGTGGGAGGCAGCTGAGATGCTTTGAGGATCCAGGGTGAGGACTTCTGTTTCATTTATCTTTTTTGGTTATCTTCATTTTCTATGTACTTGATGGTATGAAAATTATTGGGAAGCAGTGGGCAAGGAAATATGGAATTAGCTATTTCTTTAAAATTGAAATTACCTTCCTAAAGAAAAGGGCATTATTATCTGAGGTTGAACTTTACACTGGTAATGTGATCTGTAACTGTGAAAGTCTAGAAGCTGCCTAATTCTTCTTGCCTGTGTGTCCGATTTGCAGATATGAAAATGAATGTGAATGTCAATCAGTGCTAAAAGAAATGCTGGAGCGCCTTAACAAGGTGAGTGGAACACAGCCTTGGGTTTACACAGCTCCCTTACAGCACTGAATTGGATGGTAGGAGCAATTGTTTCCCATAACCCTCTTCCCATTATGTTAGGATTTTCTGTTTCTTGTTGCCATTTTCTTTCTTGACTTCTTAATTTCAACTGAGTCTCTTTGTGAGTGAACTGATGTACAAACCCACCTTGTGACATAAAGTGTGTGGTCTCATGAGAGAAACGTAGATCATGAAGCTGATATGCTTGGTGTGTTAATCTGTTTTCCATTAATATAACGAAATACCCGAGGATGGGCAATTTGTAAAGAAAAGAGTTTTTATCTTACAGTTTTGGAAGTTGCAAATACAAACACATGCCACCGAATCTGGTGAAGGGGCCTATGACTTAGTTTTCTGATGATAAAAGACATCACTCTCACAGCATGTGAGGTGGGCTTGCATGGCAAACCATCACTGGGGTGGGGATGTAATGCCTTCCCACTACGCGCGCCCCCTTGAAGGTCCTATTATTTCTCAGCACCTCTGCACTGGGGACCAAGCTCCCAACACATGGACTATAGTTCTAGGCTACACGATATGCCAGCATTACAGTGCCCACTTATGGTTTATCTAGATAGACTGATCACAAATGACCATGTTTATTGTGTAAACTGATACCTCTATTCTGTTGGCTAATAGCCTTGACGTTGCTGTTTTGAAGCAAAAGACTCAGGGAAGAGAGGAAGAAACACCTATTTCCCTTGAAGCATTCTCTCTCTCTCTCTCTCTCTCTCTCTCTCTCTCTCTCTCTCTCTCTCTCTCTCTCATGAGAAACAGTCACAGGGGAGGTGCTAGGGATTCTGGAACATTCCTGTAATGGTTATATGGAGCTGTTCCTAGCTGGGACAGTTTCCTTCTTCCGATTGTCCATCATCAATCAGCCTGATTGGGTTTTCTGTTGTAGCCGGGAGAATTCTGCTCTGAGTAGTAAATTCTATTGTGGACAGAAGGGTTGGACAGACACAGGCATGGCTAATGGCTACAAGAACCACCTTTTCTGATCATGCCAGAGTTCACCCCTTGGGTTGGAAGGAGTCATGGAGACGACTTAGTTGAAGGGTGCTGTTGAGGGCACATGGGCTGCTCCCCCCCCCAATGCTCCTATGCTTATAGCCTCATTCTGATAAGACACTAAACTTGTCTTGTTTATTTTGTCAACTTGACACAAGTTAGAGTCATCTGGGAAGCGGGAATGTCAGTTGAGAAACTGCCCCCACGAGATTGCCTATAGGCAAGTCTGTAGGGCATTTTCTTGATGAGTGATTGGTGTGAGCACCCCTGGGCTGGTGGTCCTGGATGGTGTAAGACATCAGACTGAGCAAGCCACGAGGAACAAACCAGTAAGTAGCACTCTTCCGTGATCTCTGCTTCAGTTCTGGCCTCCAGATCCTGCTTTGAGTTCTTGCCTTGCCTTTATTCAGTGACAGAGAGTGTCCCGAGAGTTGTAAGCTGAAATAAATCCTTTCCTCCCCAAGTTGTTTTTGGTCATGGTGTTATCACAGCAATAGAAACCCTAATTTAGACAAAGCTCTTCCTTCCTGAGCTCCGATTGCCCTTACAATTCTCTCCGTATAACTGGCAGCCACTTGGGACAGGAGGGATTACTCAGGGCATCTGCCACTTCCTAGCTTTGTCTAACCTCTGTTGTCAAAGCGGCATTAAAACCGGGACTAAAAATTTGGGAAGCCTGATTTTATTTTATCAACATTATCTGCATCTGGTGCCCATTCTCTCAGTGATGACCCTGGGAGTGGGGTGCCGCTGATAATTAGTGGGCAGGTCAGCAGTTAGCATTTGGGACTGTCTCGGGCCAGACAGAGGACATGTGAGCATCCTAGATGTGGGAGACCTGCTCCCACTTTTCCCCCAGGGTATTCTTGAGTAGGGAGAAGTGAGAACTATTTAGATAGAAATAGAGAGGGGAGAGAGACAGATAGAAATACTGGATAGCCTCAGGAGGGCCTGGGTCAAAACCCATCAGCCCCTTCTGTCACCGCTAAAGGGCTTTTAAAGGAATGCCAAAGGGTGGAGCAAAAGACCTCCCCCTTGCTAGATCAAAGCATACCGCACAGCCCAGCCAAGTGCAGACCCTTCCAAACACGGGGGTAACCATGCATGTGGTCAGTCAATCCCCTAATGCAGCCCTGCTGTGTAAAGCAAGCTCAGATCTCACTAGGAAACCTCTGTGGACCCCAACAGCTAGGCGGAACAGAAAGGTGGTGGTAAAGATATGCTGTAGCGGCGCTCTAAGGACGCAGGCTCTAGGCTGGTGGGGATGGGGGTGTGGGGATGTGGCTCCAAGCCTGTTGTAGCAGAGCTGGGAATTTCTTTTATGAGCACTCAGTAGCTCCCAGCTGTTCTGCTCACACTTTTAATTCATCCCATTTTTGGCTGTGGTTACAGTCCAAAGTTGCAAGAGGAGGGCCCCCTGTCTTCTTCACAGGCCAAGGCTTTCAAGGACATCCTTCACCTGGGTGGGAATTTAGGCCCTCTATGGTGTCCCTCTCAACCCCACCACAGTGGCGGCCTTCTCTTTACCTTCAATGGAAACTGACAGTGGCTTTTCAAACCCTTTGTCCTTTCTCTCTTATTACAAAAGCAATTCATCTTCTCAGCAGAAAAATAAGGCAATGCAGAAACTGAACACCAAGGAAAATAAATCTCACCCTTTCTCCACCCAGAGAAAACAGCCACGCGACCTTCATGTACATTGTAACAGAGAGACAGTGGGCGTTTGAACTGCCAGCCCCACAAGAATAACCCTCATGACATGGCCACCAAGAATGTAGGTGAGGGCTATAACCGAGAATGAATTGGTGTGGCTGTCTCCTGGGCCAGGCTAGGACCCTCCTGCCCACAAGTGAGCTGCGCTGCTCACAAGAGGAAGGTAATCTGTGAATAAATCAGACCACACTGCCGAGTATCTGTGAAACTGGGAGTGGATTCGCTTACCTCTCTGAGCTTTAACTTTCTTATCTGTGGGAGTAATCACAGTCCACTGGCGTGAGAGAATGTCTCCATGCCCACTGAGCATGAAATGACTTAGCAGTACACATGACTTACCTGTCAAATGGCAGCGCATGGTCTTTGTCTGTGGTCGGTGGCAGAACATTTGATGTGACAGATACCAGCTTAGTTTCCCCAACTGTGAATGAAGTGCATGACCTGATGGAACAGGAAGTGACTTTAGCTGGCTCGTGGAGGTGTAAATTTTTCATAGCTGTGAATTATATATACTTTCAGATTTATTTTATTTTATTATGTGTATGGGTGTTTTGCTTTCATGTGTGTCTATGCATCATGGGTGTGGCCTGGTGCTTGCAGAGGTTAGAAGAGGAAGTTGGACCCCCTAGAACTGGAGTTATTAATGGTTATGAGTTGCCTTGTGGGTGCTGAGAATTGAACCCAGGTCCTCTGTAAGAGTAATAAGTGTTCTTAACTGCTGAGTTATCGCTCCAGCCCCAGTTATAATATTTTAAAAAAGTTTTATTTATGTGTATATGCATGTGACTATGTGAGACTATGCCGAGTGTGTGCAGGTACCTTTGGAAGTCAGAAGAGGGCATCAGATCCCCCTGGAGATGGAGTTACAGGCGGTTGTGAGCCACAAGACATGGGTGCTGGAAGTGAAGTTGGGTCCTCTGGAAGAGTGAGTAGCAGGTGCTCTCAACTGCTTAGCCATCTCTCTAGCCCCACAAATCATGACTTTTTTTTTTCTTTTTTGGTTTTTTGAGACAGGGTTTCTCTGTGTTGCTTTGGAGCCTTTCCTAGAACTCACTTTGTAACCCAGGCTGGCCTTGAACTCACAGAGATCCGCCTGCCTCTGCCCCTCGAGTGCTGGGATTAAAGGCATGCACCACCATCGCCAGGCTAAATCATGAATTTTTATGATTGCTTTTTATTTATAGCATATTACATAAAAAGTTCATTTTAAATAAACCTAAGGAAAAAAGTGAATCAGTGTAAAGAAAACCCAGAGTGAAAAGTAATCGTTCCTGGGGTTAGTGAAGTTGTGTAAACACTGGATTGAGAGGGTCCTTGAATCAGCTTGTGGGAGCCCCAGATCAGCCTGTGGTTACTGCTGGGGCTGATTTCACTCCAAGAAAGAAACCATCCCAGGGCCTTCTTTTTCCAGTCAAAGGACTCACCCACGGGCTTAAATAGCTTCAGAACTCTTCATCCCATGCACGGCAGGCATAGACTGGAGGGTTTGTATTCCTGGCTCATTCTCTACTTCCCAAGGACAAGCAGAGAAACCGCGTCCCTCAGAATCTAGACACAAAGTCAAGGGCTGTAGGCTAAAGATGCCTCGTGGTCTAGATAGTGGATCCTTCTCCTGTGTCATGCCACTTGTCACCAGACATGTAGGGCCCACAGAAGACTTCCTGAACCTCCTGCTGTGGGAACGTGACTCACTCATCTCAGACCTACTAGGCATGCACACCCCAGGAAATGAATCTTAGTCATCCAAGATCACAGTGAGTGTGGCTAAGTTCCCCAGTTGTTCCCCCTCAGCATAGAGAGTTCCACAAGTTCCCAGCAGGATCAAGGCTTGTTGTTCACAATGGTGACCTGTCTGCCTGTCTACCCTTCTGGGCTTTACCACTCTGTATCCCGGTGTGTATCATCAGCTGAGAAAGAGGAGGCTAGAAGAGTGGAATTCTCATCCTGTTGATGGTCAGAAAAGTGATTAAATTTTTTCTTTACATTTACTTATTTATTTACTATTTAGTGTGTGTGTGTGTGTGTGTGTGTGTGTGTGTTCACACATGCCATTGCATGTGGTCAGAGGACAGCTTGCAGGGGTGGGTTCTCTCCTTCTACCATATGGGTCCTGGGGATTGAACTTATGCCATCAGCCTTGGCAGCAAGTATCCTGACCTGCTCGGCTATCTTGCCAGCCTTGGATCAGAGATTTTGCTTAACAAGTCCGGAGACGTTTGCTGAGTCAAATCAACTTTTGCCTCTCCGCTTAGTCTCAGGGCCAGTTCTGATAGTGTCACTTGCAGGAGGGATTCACCCTTGGGTGTGGCTGTGGGAAGACATTGATTCACACACCTGCCAGATTGTCACGTGGCTCGTGCAGTAGACATCCAGAACAGGTCATTTTGGGTTCTTGGGCACATATGCCAAAGCAAGCCACTCCTTGTTACCCTCCTTGAAGAGAGCTAAACCCCTCAACATAACAGCTGAGCAGTACGGCCAGAGTTAGTCACATGCTCAGCCTTTTGATGGAGTGAGACCCACAGGTGGCTCTTAAATAAACATTCAAGCTTGTACAGCCTCTGTAACTCATTGCCACACATATGTACTTAGAAGATGACTGGCTGCCAGTAATTCCCGAGTTTGCTTATCAGCTGGACGGCTGGCTCTTAGGAGTGAACTTTACAGCTTAACACTCCCCTTTCTTTAAAATTAACAACAATTTAGACCGATGTAGCTTCTAGGTACACGTGTTTACCTAAAGACAATAAAAAACATCCAAAGGGGCTCATGTGCATGCAGTTCACGTGCCTCTGAAGTCCCCGGTGGGAAAGAGCAGGACATCCCGGGGTCTGGGGCAGAAAAGATGGAACATGAAGCAGCCACCTTCAGGGGTACCAGCTGCTACATGACCAAGAATTCCTCACTCCAGAGAAGAGGAGAGGAGGAGCCTGGGAAGGGAGGCATTAGGGAGGAGGTTGGAGTGTGGCGAGGCTTGCAGGAAAGGAGAGCAGAGGGAGAGAGCAGAGTCTAGAAAATACGCCAAGGAGAGAGCGGAGTCTCAGCTCACCCAGAGCTTCCTTCAGGCAGATGCGCAGTTTTGGAAAGATGTTTTGATACCCGGGGTTGGAAGAAAAGTGTTTTTAAAATTAAGTCCCAGCTTGCCAGTGGTTTTAATGAACTTGGATCTCCATTCTTTAGCAGCTGGGGTTTGACGGGAGCCTAGAATTCCTGGAGGGAAAGTTGTCAAGGATGATTGTCAAGGGTGCCTTGAACTTGAATGATGTCTCCGGTTCCTTTCTCAAAAACGGCTGTGAGGGCTGGGATGTATCTGAGTAGTAAAGGGCTTCCATAGCATGTGCAAACCCCTGACTTCCATCCCCAGCACAGTGTGGGGTGGGGCTGTAAATATCCTGGACCACGCAGACCTCGTGGACGGGTGGCTCTGGAACTTCACCCCGTGTCCTCAGCACCTGGCAGGGGTGTTGGAATCCTCGAGAGTATTTGCATTTCTAGCTAGCTCTCAGGTACTGTGATCTGTTTTGTGAACCATCTACTCTGTTTCGAGCACACACACTATCAGGGCTGGATTATTTTCTCAAATTAGACAGTTGACACAGGCAGTTGATTCTGAAACATCTAGATGCTTCTGTTGCTGCAGCATTTGGAAATTCAGCTGACAGCATCTCAGGCATAATGAAAACACAAGCGTCTACACATTTCTGCTCTTTGGCACAAATAAAAGAACATGCTTCCAAAACAAATTCTCATCATATCAGCAACTGCGCCGTTCCAAAGTGCCAACTCACCTCTGGGATTTTCGGGGCAGTATACAACATGATTGTCTTCCAAGCAAGACATGTGCTTACAGAACCATCTGACTAACTCCCATTTTAAAGACAAGAATTGCATTTTTTATTATCACCACAGGTGGCTTTGAGATAGTGCTTTGTGGGAGCCAGTGCTGGTCCTGGCATGATCCCCAGGGGGAGATGTGGAAGGATGGTAGGTGTCTGGTAGGATGGGCTCTCCACTCGGCAGGTTCCAGTCCTGTTATCATCTCTTAGTTTCCATTAACAATGGAAGGACCCATTGATCAGCCTGGTCCATGGATTTGGTTGAAGGGCCACTAAGGGACTAGAGCTGCTGGACAGATGGGCTGTCTGTGGCCTTTTATGATCTGCCGGAAGATGATCCAATGTGCTTAGCATGTGTAAGGTCCGTCTCCACCCCCACCCCAAAATAAGCAAACTTCTTTGCTTTGATCTTATACAGTGGCTTCTGTGGTATATTTTACTTGAAGGAAGGTACCAGTGACTTTAAAAATAAATGTGAGCAGACCAATGTTCTCCAAGGTCTTGTCCATCTATAAGATTCTTGTTGCATGAATCCTAAATGGTCTTATAATAAAAAACCCAGACCCAGATATTGAGATAAATGCTGAAAGATCAGAGAGACAAAGGAACAAGTCACTAGAGAAACTTCTCACCACTACCGAATCCTCAGGCCAAATGGAAGGTGAGATCCTATCACCAGGAATCCTCTGACTGAAAGCCTCTGAGTTCTCAGCTGAAAGGGGGGCCTTTGTCCTCAGCCAAAAAAGCTGTAGTTCCTGTCTCCTCATGCCTTATACACCTTTCTATGCTCAGCCTTTTCTCTTCCTTCCTAGTGCTGGGATTAATGGTGTGAGTGCTTCCCAAATACTGGTAGCAAAGGCATGAGATCTCAAGTGCTGGCATTAAAGGTGTGTGCCACCACTACCTGGCTCTGTTTCTCTCCTAGACTGAATCAATCTAATGTAGTCCAGGGTGGCTTTGAACTCACAGAGAGCCAGACAGATCTCTGCCTCCCGAGTACTAGGATTAAAGGTGTGTGCCACCACTGCCTGGCCTCTATGTTTAATCTAGTGGCTGACTCGGTCCTCTGATCCTCAGGCAAATTTTATTTGATACACAATATATAACCAGAGATTCTGAGTGTTTGATCTCTCTTAGCAATAACACAAAGAACAAGGGGCTCTTGGAATCCCATATCTAATTCTCCCTCAGCTCCAGTAATTATGGATCAAATATAGGGTCATGTTTGGAAAAAGTGAACATCAGTAAATGTTGTCCACCCCACCCTATCCTTATAGGCTGAAAAGGGACAGAGAGAAGGTAGAAAACATCCAAGAAATTGGCTCTGTGTCTTTGTATGACACTCCTTCGTGTGTGTGTGTGTGTGTGTGTGTGTGTGTGTGTGTGTGTGTGTGTATATGATGTGAGGTGGGGATGCCATGGTGTGTGTGTGTGTGTGTGTGTGTGTGTGTGTGTGTGTGTGTGTGTATGATGTGAGGTGGGGGTGGGGGTATATGCCATGGTGTGTGTGTGTGTAGCTCAGAGGATAACTTTGAGGAGTCAATTCTCTCTTTCTACCTTTATATAATATAGGTTTGGTCTTAAAACTCAAGTTACTGATGGCAAGATACAGAATGAATATAGATATTCTGTAAATTTTAGGGTTATTTGTTATGTGACTATTTAAAACTCTTGGCTTTTTCTAGATAAGATTCCTCAAGCCTGGCACTGTGGACACTTAGGCTATAACATTCTTTGTTGTATGAGTGTGGTGGGGAGCGGAGGGCTGTTTGTGTATTGTAAGATACTTACAGCGGTCTTCTGGCCTCTACCATTCAATAATGACAGTAATAACTATCTCTAGATGTCAAATGTCCTCTTGGATGCAAAATCACCGAGTCATGAGAACTGTTGTTTTCAACGAGGCCCAACGACTAGCGTGGTGCTTTATTCAGAATGCAGCCTCTAGGGCTGGCAAGATGGCTCAGTGGGTAGAAACACTTGCTCTATGTGACTGATGACCTGAGTGAGATCCCAGGAACCCATGGTGGAGGGAGAGAATCAACTCCTGAGAGTTGTCTTCTGACCTGGCACGTGTGCACCCCTCAAACCTGCACACACACACACACACACACACACACACACACACACACGAACAAGACTGTCGTCCCTGGGTTCGCACGTTGGTTCACACTATACCTAAGGGCTCCTGCGACCCTGACGTGGCTCTTTTCGTTGCAGAAAGCTGATGAAGCCTTACTGCGGAACCTTCACCTTCAGTTGGAAGCACAGTTTCTGCAGGCAGACATCAGTGTGGCCAAGGACAGGTACAAAAAGGTGAGCAGCGCATGTGGGAAGGAAGCCCTCCCTCTCTCCTCGAAAACCCAGTCTGAGTTTGGCTGAACAGGAGACTGCCAGATTGAGCAACCTGTGATTGCATTCCCCTGAACTGGCATGAGCCGGCCACTGGACAGCACTCACCCAGCCGGCCGGAGCTGTATAGAGGGCATCAGTGGGCGATGCCAAGTTATGTGGGGATTGTGATGTTAGGTTTCGGTGTCTGTACTTCACATTGTAATCTACAAAATTATTTAGACAGCTTATCTTGAGCTGTAAGCAGTCAACTTTTATCTCAGAAAAATGCAGAAAGGGAGAGTTTTTTTTTTTTTTTTTTTTTTTTTTTTTTTTTTTTTTTGGTTTTGTGTTTCAGCCTTTGGGTCTGTCTTGGGGGTCACTAGCTGACACCTTTGTTTAGGAGCCCCCTCTTTCAGAGTGTCCCGACCTTTCCTCTTCCTGATCAGACTCTCACGGGTGTGATGCTGGAGGCCTTGGCACACCGGAAAATCAAATCCTAGCCCTGTGTAGTCGTGAGTGAGCAGCCTGGCCTTTCTAGGCTGCTTGCTATTTTCAAAATTCGAGTGGCATCCCGGTGCCCCTGTGTGGGTTAACCGTGGGTTAATGGAGAGGGAATGCCAACTCTCCCTGGGCTCTGGGCTCCTTCTGATGGCCCACATTGTAACCCGAATCTTAGGTCTGTTGTCCCCTGACTTAGCCAGAAGAAACCTGGAGACGTGAGGGGGTTATTTACAGTTGAGGCCAGAATTCATAGTTTCCTTCCATCTTCCTTGTTACTTTGTAGAAAAGAGGAAACAAAACCCAGGAAATGGACCTGTGTAGATTTAGCTGCACGATACTATGGCTGTGAGGACCCTTTTCCTAGGGTAGATGGGGAATTTCTTAATTGGCCTTAGGACCCCTACCTGTTCTCACCAGGCTGGAATTTCTTGGAGAAACTTTCCTTCTGTGGGGTTCATTTATTTTAGGGTCCTCGTTTCACTGATATGGTGTCTGTACCTCTTTGCTGAGGACCTTACTGTAGCAGTTGAAAGCTGCTCTGCCTCATAGGAAATATTGGGGGACCCCCATGCCCCTGAAGTGGCCTCATCCAGCGGCTGACGGACATCTGTATGAAAACTCCCTGGGCTCCTCTTGTCTGGGTAGCAGGACTTGGATGACAGTCATGAGCTCCATGCCTACAGGAATGCAACAGATGACATGCCCCGCTTGGCCAGTCTCCTGCCCCTGTCACTTCCCTGTCCTGTTAGCTGTTTCATTAATTCAGCTGCCCACACCCAGATCTTTCTCTGGGAAGCACTTCTAGGGCCCAGCAAGCCCATGTTCCTTCCTCCTCCTCCCCTCCACCCCGCCGACGTGTGTGCTTTGCACTGGGCACAGAAAGAGATCCTTCCAGCCTCTCACCTGGCCCTCACCTGCTTCCTCCTTCACACCTTGCAGCTTCCTTGTACTTAGCTTCCTTGTACTTATCCTGACAGCAAGGCCTGGGGGCAGTCCCAAAGCAGCCCAGAGCACTCTGACGGCATTCAGAGCAATAATCAGGAGGGTGGGAAGCTCCCGTTTATTTATTTATTTATTATTTATTATTTTTATTTTTATTATTATTTTTTATTTGAAGCTCCTGTTTATTATCTGTTGGACCCCAGCCTGGCTTGGAGGGACTCAAGTCAGCTCCTATGAGCAGAGCCTGAGATGGTGACCCAGGGACCTCAGTTAAATTAGAGGAGGGCTGTGGGGGAGAGAGAGAAGGGAGCATTGGTCTCATTGGAGGCCAGAAGTTGGTCTGTTTCACTCACGGGCTGGGGCCCATGTAGCTTTCCGGACAAGTTGAGCAGTGGTTGGTCAGGGCTGCTTTCTGGAGGGGGGGCTGTGTGATCAGTCATTGGTCATAGCTGTGGAAGGTGCATTGGCTGGTGGGGGTCACCAGGCCTCCCTGCGGACAGTTAGCCCTGTTTCATAAAGGGACTCCCGTTCTAGGGGACTTCAAAGCCAGCCCGAGAACACACACATTCATTTAGTCTCAGCATGGCTGGCTAAAGCTGCCCCCTCAGTGAAACACTGTCCTGTGCTGTCAGAGTCTTCTGTAGCTGCCATCCCTTGTTTGGTCCCTGCCCTTCTGGTGCACTTAACATCCAGGGCTCGGTGAAGCCAGTGGCAATGTGTGAAGGTAACTGAAGGGAAAGGGCAAAATAAAGCAAGCCTCAGTTTGCTCTTCTGCCCTGCTGCTCTCCTGAAGCTGTGGAATGCCCACTCCATGGTGCCCTCCCTGGCAGCTGCAGCTGATCTTTGGGTCGTTCCCAGTATGACCACAGCTGTGAAGGTGCTCATTCCTGGGCTCGCTTAGGACGGGAGGGAAGGATTCAGGCAGCCCGACTTGTAATGAAAATTCTTTCCCTCTGCAACAGAATCTTCTGGAAATTCAGACCTACATCAGCATCCTGCAGCAGATCATCCAGACTGCTCCTCAAGTGTCCCTGGTTACTAGTGGGATGCGGGAGGTAAGAATTGGAGCCGTGGCTGCAAGGAAAGCTGTCCAGTCCTGGGGGAGTCTTTACTCACATACTTGTGGACCGAGTTGACCTTCTCAGAGGTCCAGGGACAAACACTGGGTCAGACTGCTAGGGCTACAGTAAGTTATCCCCTGCCTACTTTGAGTGATGTTTAGGTTTGAGCGTTATTCTTACATTCTTTGTTCCAACTGTAAATGCTGATAGATTTCAGAGGACACAAGCTATGTCCCTTAACATTATGTTAGGTATTTTCTTCTAGGAAGTGTGGTCTATTTTCTCTTGCATACTGTAAGATTGTATTCAAAATTGTGTGCTGTATTAGTCTCTTTTCTCTTGCTGATGACACAATAGTAGACTGAGCAAGCTAGAAAGAAGAGGGGATTGCTTTGACGGATGGTTCTGGAGATTCAGGGTCAAGGGGCTTTCGTCTACTTACAGTGTTTTTGCTGGCAGTGTCCAGAGGTAGTGCAGAGCTCTACAAGGCAACAGGTCCTGTGTCTGTGTGTCTGTGTGTCTTTGTGTCCTTTGAATTTTCTCTTCTCATAAAGCTAGCAGGATTCATCAAGGGAACTGGACCCCGATGAACTTATCCAACCCTAATTACTTTCTAACGGCCCCTTCATAGTCTTGACGAACTTTCCCTTTTTTCTTATGAGACACTCTTGCTCTGTAATTCCAGCTGTCCTGGAACTTGCCAGCTTCTTGCCTCGGCCTCCTGAGTGTTGGGATTATAGGCATGTGCTTCCATCTTCTCAAGGCTTCTCAGAAGAGGTTAAAATCCAGTATGAATGCTCAGAGGGCACAGACCACATTCCTGTTGTACCAGGCCATTGTTACACTCCCTCTAGTTATGAATGAATTCCTGTTGTGCCGGGCCATTGTTACACTCCCTCTAGTTATGAATGAATTCCTGTT